TTATTTTAAATTGTTTTGTTGTGTCAGTAGAATTTGATTATCTTACTGGTACTTCTTTTACTGATGCTGTAAGCCTTTTTCTGTGCTTTGCTGAAGGAAAGGTAAGATATGGCAATGGTGAATAAATAAATGCTGAGAAAGGAAAAACAAGGGGAGGCTTCTTGAATAATAACAGATTTTCTATTAGGATAATTCTAATAGTAATAAATAACTGCAAATAGGTGATGAAAAGAGGGGGCAAATGGGAGGCTGTAGAAGATTTGTCCTCCCGAAAAGCTAGATAGCTAGATGACTTTTTTAAAGGAATAGAACAATGCCATACTTGCAGCCACAAACCTGATCTGGCCAATCTTTCCACATATTTGTTGTCATAAGTACCTGAAATTTATCAGCAACAGAACTATCAACTGGAAGAACTACTTGCGCATGCAATACAATATTATATGATGAGTCCATACATTAGGCAAGTACTTTTTATAAATGTAAACATACTGTATTATTTCAGTGTAATTTAAAAAAAAAACAGAAAAATATAATATATTCAACATACTGGGACAGAGGGTTATATTTAACAGGTTAACTGAATACTAAATGCTCTTTGATATGCTGATCAACCTCAACACTGGAATAAAGATGCTCATAAATATTAACTATCATCTTTGCATGAGTCACCCATAGGCAGAATATTTTGTTCAGAAAATGGAATAGAGCTATTATAATTTAATTCTGTGTCCCTTTTTGATCATCAGCCTCAAAATGCCTAGGAAAATTGTTTGAAAGACGATGGAACAACAGGCAAAAAGCCAGATTTAAATAGAATACCATTAATTATGGTTTACTAATTTGGTTCAAAGATATGTCCCATTTGCCAGGATAAACAATTTAAAACCTAGAAGGCTAGGCTCATGCTCAAGATCATTTCAATAGCTAACATTTTCCAGAAAATCTGACAAGACACTGTTATGGATTTCAGTATAGGGCTTAAGAACTGAATTTACTTTTGATGAAGTTAGATGTACTTCAAAGCAGCTGAGAACATTTTCTAAAAGTCCCCACCATCATTGTATGAATACTGGAACCCTTCCCTCCAAAAGGCAAAACCAACAGGGTCACATTCTCCTTTCCAGTTTCAGGATAAAAATTCCAGGGAGTGAGGAAGCAATAATTTCAGTGACACCCACTTGGCATTAGTTCTGAAATAGTTCAAATAAATAAATTTATTTGTTTGTTTAGGATTGGTGGAGTTTTAATGTTTGTAAACCACCCAGAGAGCCCTCTGGGCTATTGGGGTGGTATATAAATGCAATGCAATCAATCAATCAATAGATAATATGTATTACTAAAACAACTTAATTGGGAAAAACCATCCTTCACCTGACCCCAAACCATACACTGGAGATTGGCTGGAAATTTCCCAAGAGAATGGGACTGGTTTTAGTTTATTAGTCTGCAATCCACCTTGGACCTTTGTTTGAAGAAAGGCAAGATGATCCATAAAATAATCATCTTCTCAAGAAATACTGGAGCCACTATGAGAGGTAGGCAAGTACTGTTTCTGTATTTCAGATGGAGGGGATGATTTGCTTATAGAATCATAGAACAGAAGAGATGGAAGAGGTCAAAGGCCATTGAATCCAACCCCCTGCTCAGTGCAGGACGTCGAGCTAAACCATCCCTCTCAGATGGCTGTCCAGTTGCTTAATCCCATCTTGAGAGTTTACAGCAGGATCTCCCTGGAAATCACCTTACATACCCAGGAATGTCTGATACCTGAGAATAAAAGCTGTAGCTGTAGGACTTAAAAATTAGTCTGACCATTATTTCTGTATCTTTAGTTCAGTTTTCTCTTCCTGGATTACAATTTAGTGTAGATTTGGGACTCTTTCTGCATATCAGTCACTCCAAGTCCATGAACACAACTCATTTCTGTATTTTCCACTCTTGCAACAACAGTTAAGGAGTAGGAGTTTGAGAACTGGGAAGGAAAATATTGGTTCCATAAAACCACAATAATTTCACAATCATCTCACTGGTGCAGATTTTAAAACTTTGGTTTATCCAATGATTTTTACCCACTGAGGCCCTTTCTCTCCTCTCACCATACAGCACTAAAAAGTTTGACAAAAAGGTTGTGTTCCTCAAAAGGTATAGACAAACTAAATAAAAATTTGCAACTGAGCATGCAGTGCTTATAGTCCCCCTGAGGCTGCAATCTTAAAACATGACTTACAAGAAAGTAAGTCCCACTGAACTTAATGCCACCCACTCAGCAAGGAAATATGCTTGGGATTCTGCTCCATGCTTGAGATCAAACAGCAGCAAACTTCTCACTGACAAGGTAAACCTGTGTGAGGATCATATGACTTCAGCCTGCAAGTGGGAGCCATACAAAGAAAGCTGGCCTAGCTTTCTCCCAACATGCAAGGTATTTGACTGCAAGAACTTTGTCTGGAAAGAAACAAGTACTCATATGAACCACCATCTACAATGTTCAACTGGAACGCATAGTACATATAGTCAGGCCACAGTAAAATATCCAGCTCATGCAATTAACAGAGACTAGAAATGCTTAGATATGTCTTGTTACGTATCAACTTATGTTGACGTTATGAATTAGTGCTCTCCAAAGTGTTCCATCCTTGACAGACCTGCTCAATTCTTGTAAACTCAAAGCAGTGGCTTCCTTAATGAAACCAATCCATCTCATATTTGATCTTCCTTTTTCCTTTACTTTCCACTTTACTGAGCATTTTTGTCTTCTCTAATGAGCCTTGCTTTCTCCTGATCTGGTCATTTTTGCTTCCAGAGAAAGTTCTAAGACCCACCTGTTCATTTTCAGCAAGTTCAGAGTATACAAGCCTGCAATTTCAACAGGGCTAACAGTATGTATAAACTGTAATACAATTGAAGCCCAAATCAGCTAAAGGTCAGTCACTGGTCAGTATTTCCTCTGCATCCCCAGTGCCAAATGCGCATTTCAATTCTTGGAACCTTTCCAAAAGAACTAGAACAAGCTATATTTGTGACCAATTCTTACATAAAAAGATAAGCTGATTTATAAAATACAGCTTCATGAAGATTAAAATTGATCACATGGATGGAAAATGGGGTGGGGGGAAGATGAAAGAGAGAAAGAGTACTGCTTGACTACTCCAAGGTTATGGACTTGATACATTTTTTCAAGGGCATGGAACCAGCTTTCCATGATATCTGATTAATCCTGGTCAAGCATTCTTAGCAGCTTGATAAATCTTCAAAAATGATGTTGTAGAAAGTTTGCTGAAGAGTGACAGAAGAATTATGTCAACCTGTACACAGCCTACAGTTAAGGAGTGAGAAGCTAACTGAAAGAAGTTTTGCTTCTGCAAACACAAACCCTACAGGACTCATTGACGAGAGGGTTAAATAACATGAGCAGCATTTTTTCCAATGCATTGTCTATTTGGAATGGGGCAGGTAAGCTACAGTCTCTCTCCTGCCCTACATCCTATTCTAACTGCAAATATTCTAACTATTCCCCCAGTCCTGCTCGAACCAATTTCACTCATATGGGAAACTGTAAAGACACTTGAATGGCCAGGCTGTATGCCGAGAATTAGCCAGTCAGTCCTGGACTTTTAGCCAGTCAGTCCTGGACTTTTAGCCAGTCAGTCCTGGACTTTTCTCCACTCAGTGTGGACTTTTCCAGCCCAAAGCTCTTCTCTGCAGCCCATTTTCCCCATAATCATAAGTATTCTTGGCTGAAGAAAAACAACTGCAAACAAGAGATTTTGGAGAGGGCCTGAACAACTGGATGGGAAGAGAGCTCCCTTTCCTGCCCACAGTGTGCTTTTAAATCTTCCCTCTAGTTTTATAGCAAATCAGCACAACCCAGGTGGGGACACAGCAATGTCCCCACTGCACCTTACCCCACTTACGGGCCCACAGCCAAGTCAAGAAAACGATTTGAGAAGCAACTGGGAATGCTCCTTCATGCTTTATTGCCTAAGGGCAAGTAACAGGTTCACCCACAATAACTCCCATGTGCAATTCAGTCTAGCTACAAAACACACACACACACCCCAAACCTTGCAGTGGCTGGCACAAAAAAAGCAGGTGCAGCCACCGATTAAATCTCAGGAGAGAGAGAGAGAGAGCACCAGAGGAGCAGGGAAAAGGGCAAACCCAGACAGCCATCTGCAGCAAGACAGCTAAGATGGCAACAAGAATCCTTCCTCTGATCAAGATTCACATTTTACCCCAGGATCTGAATCGAGTCTGTGCTTCTGTAAACTACTTGAGCGTTGATGGAAAGGCTGGGAGGGGGGAGGGGGGTGCAAGCAGGACAAGACTGGCGACGCCACGAAGCCATCCCCACGCTCTCTCCCTTGACAAGTATATTTGCAGCCCAGCGATAAAAGCGATCTGCGCACGACCTAGTGCGGAATCGCTCGAGACTGGCTTGTTTGGGGCGGGGGGGGGGGAGAATATGAAAGCACAAGATTTATGCCTTCATGGCTAGTTGGCGCGAAATTCCGCCCTTTGGAAGTCATTCGCATTTATGATCAAAGGGCTGATGGTGGATGCATTTCGCTCAGGACTCCAAGCACATCTGATTGCCTCCCCTCCGGGATGCGTTTCACAGACTACACGAGGTAAAACGTTTCCCTTGACGTTTGCCGGGGGGGGGGGGGAGATCGTGTGAAAGGGGCACCGTTGGTAACTGAATCCCGAGAACCCGACACTTCAGCCCTAAATATCAATCCCAACGACGATCCAGGAAGAATCTGGTGCATTTCCTCGTTACTACCCCGCAACGCACACGCACACGCGCGCGCACACCCCCCTCCCGAACGCACGAGGAATCCGAGCGGAGAGGCGGCGGGTGGAGCGGAATCGAAGCCCGGACAGCCCCTACCTTGGCCAGGGCAGCCGCGCGTCCGGCCACCTTGCCCGCCCCGGCCGGCGGCGCGGCTCGGCTCCCTCCCCCTCGAGTCTCTCGACCAGACGCCACAACTTACCCAAACTGCCAGCGAAACCGTCCATCTTGGGCGCCGAGGAGCTCCCGTCGGGGCCCGAAGACGATCCGCGCTCGCTGCTCGCCAAGGCAGGAGGGAAAGACGGCGGGCGGGCGGGCGGGCGCACGGAGGCTCATTCACCCTCGTGGCGGCGCCGGCGGCTGCCCCCTCCGTGCCTGGGGCATGAGCTACTGGCGCTTGCCGTCCGCCCGCCGGCCGGCCGGCCGGGCTCTTCCAAGGCTCGTCGCCGTCGGCGGCGGCAGCTGCTGCGGTTGTCAGGCGCCCGCCGCTCCTGGATGCCGCTCTGCACCAGACGCAGCTCAGCGAGGGCGACGCGCGGCCGGTACCCGCCCGCCTGCCTGCTCGCCCGCCTGCTCCGTCCTCCTCCTGGCAACAGTAGTAGCAGCAGCTGCCACTCTCCAACCCGCTCCTGCGAGCCGCTCTCGGCCCGCCTCGCAGCGCCCTCTTTGCTTTCGCGCTTCCGACTCCGCCCCACTTGGCAGCCCGGGCTTCCCCTCCAGCGATTGTTGCAATGCGCACCAGGAGGGTCTCGGGCCGGGCGGGCGAGCGGGCGCGAGGGGGCAGCTGCCCGAGCGCGGCCTGCGGGATCGCGGGCGGACGGCGGTCTGCGCGCCTGCCGCTCCCGCGCCGCTCCGTTCCTCGCCCTGCCTCTGCCCCGGTGCGGCTCCCCGCCAAGGAAGGCTGGTACCGAGCCTTGGCACTCTGGGTCGGGAAGGCACTTGGGGGTTGAGGCGTAGCATGGCAGCCTTACTTGGGAATAAGCAACTGCACTGAACTCCGCGGCGCTTGCTTGCCCGTAGGCTAGGAGTGCCGCACGGATAAAGAAATCTGGCCGTGCGACCCTATATACATGCCCGCTCAATAAGTAAATCCAGCACTCTAGGATCGGGGCCCTGCACGTAAGTAAAAAGGCGGGCAGGGGAGTCATTCCGAGACAGAGATATAAAGTAACGTCTGTTTTGGCTGTAAACGAACATAGGATTGGGGTCCATTATACAGTGGAGTCTTGTATGCATGTACACAGAACTAAGTCTCATGGAGGCCAGTGGGTGTTAATCCCAGGTAAATGGGTATGGGATTGCAGTTTTAGAAATCCGTTTAAATCTGCATATGAATAAAAAATTACAGCGTGCATTTAAGCGTGCGCACATTTGCTTTAAGAACATTTTGCTGCCCAAGGTGGAGCCTCAGGTGCCCTCATCCACCCAAGCTAACCTACATAGTATCCCTGGCCCACCAAGATTGTTTGAGACCTGGGCCAGAAGATCGCAGAAATTTTACTGCTTCTCCCAAGTGTACAGTGAATAATTTCCCAGCTTTTCAGCAGAGGTGGCCTCTTGGCTTAATTGTGGCTGGGGAGGGGCCCACTGGGTTGCCCATTCACATCAAAGGCTGTGAGCCCACCTCTTAGGCAGGTGAGAGTGCTTTCTTTTTCCTTCCTGGCTTGCACTTTTCTTCCTGCCCAGCTCAGTTCAGAAGCCACAGTAAGGCTATACCAGCTTACTTGGGAATAGATTCCATAGAACTCGGTGGTACTTCTGAGTAGACATACAGAGGATTGCAAACTAAGCAAAAAGTGGATAATTACAGGAAGGTTGCAGGGCCCACATAATACAGTCAGAATGCGCCTGTTCCATACCTGTCCCTTCATCCTATCCCATACTACAAACAAGGGATGGTCAAAAGAGTTTTGATGGTTGAATGAGGTCATTCACTAGACACTTCATGAAGACATGGAGAACTGTGGCAAGATCGTGATATAACAACACACAAAGATATGCAAATGATAAAACACAAATATGTAAACTATGTGACAAGATGATTGGAAATTAAGTGCCACTGAATTTCTCCTTATTGCCTGTACCTCAAATTATTACAAGGAATCCAATTGAGATCACAGTAGCTTACAAATTTCCTGTATGTCAGAGAGTTCTAGGAAATGATCCATGGCATTTCATGGATTCTTGAAAATGGTTTCTTGAAAATGGTTTCCAGAATTTGTAATGTATTATAATTACACAATTGGGATTTGGTGATGGCCAGCAATATAGCAATGTTCCAAGAAGTAGACACATTTATGAACGATAGGAATGTTAATAGTTATTAACCCAAGAGTTTTCCACGCAATCAGTCAAAACCTATCCCGATCGCTTTGGGATGTTGTTCTTGCACAGTGACAAAAACATGATCTGTCATGGATTTAACAGACTGGGGGCAGCCTTACTGGAGGAGACTTGCCTTGCTGTAGAGGAATAGCTGTAGAAAGTTGCCTATTTTCCCTTTGGAAAAATACATAAAAACATGTCCACGTCATTTCTTGTGGCTTTTGCTTCTCCAGCCTGCCTGGCCCTCACAGTTCCCCAAAGGTTTTTTGTTCTCTGAACAATTCCACTCGCCCACCCTTGCTGTCCTTTAAGCTTCCCAGAGTGCACCTGTGCAGCCACTTCCCTTATATCTTTATGACTCAAAATTGCAACACCTTGCTTCATATAAACCTGCACTTACACTACAGTCATCAACTGAGATCCTCATCCAAGTGTTTCCTCCAAGTGTGATTCAGGGGATGGGAACAAGAGGACCTTTTTGGTAATGCTCCTTCTCCCCAAATGTGGGGTGCTTTCCCCACCAAGGTTTGTCTGGTGACAACAGTGCCATCTTTGCAGCACCAGGTCAAGACTTTACTCCCAGGCATTTGACAGCATATAATGATGGGTTTTCAGACTTACCCCAAGGCAGAGTACATCAGATAGCATGTGTGCAGCCCAATCCTATACTTAGAAGTCAGTCCTATTGCTTGGATGGGACTTACTTCCAAGAACATATGCAGAGGGTTGCAGCTGTAGTTTGGGCCTAGTTCCCAGAAAACCTCCAGGATACTCTGCATCTTTCTTTGTTCAGGTCCCTCCCCATCTTTGCCATCACGCTTTTGATTCAGTAGGCCCATAGCTTCCACACCTAACTGTAACTACACCTAAATGTATGCCACTGAAACTGATGTGCATTCCTTCCCAGTCCAGCCCTGCCTCTACCTTCCATTCCACTGTTGCTTCCCTTTAGTCAAATTTTACACTATAAGCTCCTTGGAACATTTTACATCTTGAGCTATCACCTTCCTGTACTCTGCAGCATGTGCACTCATGGCAGCAGTGAAACATCCCTTGGAAAAAGATTGTTAGGCCTCAGCCTGATGCATGCAATTTCTATATTGGCTGCTTCCTCACCTGGGCGAGCATTTAGGAATGCAGAGTTTACCTCTAGAAGTACTAAAGTAGGTCATACTGATGAATATACAAATTAGTTTATACAGTCTCCCAAAGGATGGATGGGAGATGGTGGGTGTTGTGGGGAGGGGTCGTGGGGGGGTTTAAACTAATCCCATGGAATCTCTATGTGAAAAGGGCATGGGATAGTGGGACCCCCACCCAGGTCAGCGATAGCACTCTAACCTTAGAAGGGGCAGTCTGAGATCTGACCCTGTGATAGAGTCAGGCAAAGTCAGACAATCAGCCTCAGACAGTGGGTGAGGGGACATGGTGGGCACAGAGGAGGGAAGACTGGAGAGGCCAGGAGCCTTTTCTACCCAAGCCTTTTCAGCCGCCTCCCTCCTCTCCACAGTGCCTCCACTAGACGGACTAAAAGCCCATCTGGCGAAATGGGCAGGGTAGCAGGATGGGGAGCTGAAGATCAGCTCCATCATTCTTCCTCTATTGCATTGGATGATCAGTTTTAGGGGCTTTGATCAGCAAGGGCACGTTCAATAGGACTGCAGCTTAAGCAGCAGAGGCTCTCCCCCAGGAGCCTTCCGTGAGAGATACTAAGAAGCAGAGTACCCGGAGGAGGGCTTTCTCTGCGGTGGCGCCCCATCTGTGGAATGGATGGGTGGCAGAGAGGTCCACCTGGTGTCGTCGTCATTTGTATTTCAGCGCCAGGCCAAGACCTTTTTATTCAAACAATATTTTAATAATGTTTAATATTTATAGATTTTAATTGTGCAGCCAGGGTGTTTCCGGGTTTTAATTGTAATTTGTTATTTATATTTGTTTATTTCTGTGAGCTGTCCCAAGGCTATATAGCAAGGGGACGGCATATAAAAACTTTAAATAAATAATAAATAAATAAGTGGGTATGTACACAGCCTACAGTGCATTTCAATAAAGGAAATGAAAGAAGAGAAAAATGCATACATATTGTGTGTGTGCCATGTGCATGCACACACAAAAATACCCGTTTGCTAAGAGCAATACAGACTGTCCTTGGGTTATGAATGAGATTCATTCCTGAGAGAATGGAAATTTGTCTGTAAGGCAAATGTGTATGTAAGTTGGATCCTGTATAGTCGGCCCTCCATGTTTGCAAAGGTTAAGGGCAAAGGTCCCCTGTGAAAGTGCAAAAACTGTAAATATCTCTAGAACACCCCCACCATCCAAACTCTCCAGTTGCAGAGAGATTTCCCTCTCCGGATGGGCAGGGCAGAAAGGCATGCCTTGGAGGCTTCCCTCTCCCATTTTGCTTCCTCTTTCTCTATGGTAATGCAGAGCCCTTCCCTCTCTCCCTTTCACTTCCTCTCTTTCTATGGTGATGACAATTTTCTGCAGTATTTAAAAAATAATAGGTTTTATGGCAGTTTGTTGATAAGTACAGGTCGTTTGTACCACCTGTTTTTTATTTATTATTATTATTATTATTATTATTATTATTAATAAAAGCTTTTCTATCCCATCCCCTACAAACATCTCGAGATGGCTTACAATAAATAAGTAGAATAAAACTAACCCCACAGCATCTGACCATTAATATACTAAAACCCCAATTAAAATCAATTAAACATTAAAATAGCAGGAAAATAAAAAGAATTTTGCCTGATGTGGAAAAGAATATAATGTCAGCGCCAGGCAACCTCTCTGGGGAGTATATGCCATAGTCAGGGCATCACCGCAGAGAAGGCCCTCCTCCAGGTACTCTCCCTCCTAATCTCCTTCAAGGAATGTTCCCAGAGCAGGCCCTCCTCCTCAGATCTCAAGGGGTGGGAGGGTACATTGGGAAGAAGGCAAATACCCAGGACCCAAGCCGTTTAGGGCTTTATAGGTCATAACCAGGACCTTAAATTGGGCCTGGACTTCAATTGGTAGCCAGTGTAACCAGTAGAGGACCGGCGTCATATATGAAAACCGCCCGGTCCCCATTAACTTCCTGGCAGCTCTATTCTGAACCAATTGAAATATCTGAACCATCTTCAAGGGCAGCCCCACGTAGAGCACGTTACAGCAATCCAACTGGGAAGTTACCAGAGAGTGGGTCACTGTTGCAAGGCAATGCTCATCCAGGTAAGGATGCAGTTGATGCATTAGCCAAAGCTGGAGGAAAGGGCTCCTCACCACTCGCCACCTGTTCAAAAGGTGAAGACATTCTAAAGTCTTCAATCCATTGCCTTGTAGGAGGTGAGCATTTATCCTTTCAATATTATAATAACAGTTTTGTTTTGCTGTTAGAAGGCTATGAAGAATCCATTTGTACAGATCATGCATTAACTTCCAGGAAGCAACTCAATATTTTCAAAGAGCATATACATCGGTAAATATCAAAGAGTGTTCCAGGACAAAATGCCACCATATAATGACCTTCTCCCAAACAGGCCACTCCTGGGAATATCCAAAACATGCTTAAAAGAAGCAGCAGTTGCACACACCTTCAACAGTTAGCCAACTTAGACAAGACAAGTAGCCTAGAAAGGATTAATAAATATGCAGGAAGAGAACTGAAGTTAACCATGCCAAAGGATGATATTAAGTGGAACAGAATGGAGAAGTGGCTGTTCTGGTGATAGTTCACTTTTCTTTTAAAAGAACCAAGAGATAACTGGCAGCATTTGGCAGCTAAATTGCATGAAGAGTGTCTAGTC